ACTGCGCACCAGCTGTAATATTTTGCGCCCTTAAATGAGCATGCTGCGAGGTACGTCTTGCATGCACTGATCTAAACGGCAATTACATGGTTCAGTAAAAATGCCAGTATGCAGTTTTTTTACAGCTTCATTCAGAAGCTGTGCGACATTCCACGACAGCTATTAGGAGATCAATTGATTTGAAGCTGACCGCGTTTTCACCCGCACATCACACCAACATTAACAACAAGTCACAGTGACTGTGGGTCCATCCTACAGACATTGATTTATTTGCAAGGAACTATGTGAGCTGAAGTCTCGGACAGCAGGAGTTGAGGCAGAAATTTCTTATAGAGGGGGTACCTCTTTGATTAGAATTACGGGGCCGGGCAGGGAGATGTGGTGGACTGTTTTGTGCGCTTTATGCCATGGAAAAAATTTCGAGGGTGGAGGCATGGGCTTGGTCCGCTACTACTTTGCTATGTCACTCGGACAGAAACCCATGTGGTCGGAAACACACATGGGGACAGACACATGGGGAGGAGAGTTGCTGGTGGCGCAAACTGCGGTAAAAGTTACCTTGGCGAGCAAAGTATCTTTAGCAGACTGGAGTGGCACATGTATGATGTTAGACTTTCGTCGGATGCGCTGGCCGAACATGCAGAAGCAACTGGCCACGAAATAGACCGCAATGCAGTCAACAAAGATTAAGGGAAGAAATTGCACTTACAGGCATTACCTGGACTATCTGACAATCCAGACGACTGCACTCGTTCTTTAATCAGGGTGTCTACCAACCTGGAAAACCTGGAAAAGTCAGGGAATTGGAACACGCCTGGAAAAGTCAGGGAAAAGTCAGGGAATTTCTGAAAAATCCGGCCAGGTCATGGAAACTGACTGTAGTCTTTCAGATCGTCACGAAAATATTCATTAGCATTAATCAAAGCTTTAAAAATTGCTCCTTAAACCACACAGAATAGCTAAGCAGAAGCATAGTTAAAAAAAAGCAGTGCATAGCTGGCGCTTCTACTTTCTGAGTACGTTACTCACGCGCATAAAATTGTGCATGTTTGTCTTGGCCGCGATCTCGGCTCGGCTTGAGGGTTTTCTGGTTAGGCTGGAAGTGCCATCAGCAGAGGGCAAGGTGCACAGAATATGCGAGTCGTAATTATTTTTTTTACTGAAATGTGTAGTTTACAGGTGCGTAAATTGGACTGGGATACAAAAACAGTAGTAGAGTAAATATGGTAATCCAGATCGGATCCAATCCAATCCAATCCACATATCAAGATGCCTGGGCTGCAGCAATATTGCCATTCTTCTTGTGATGCCGTGAGCATGCAGTGAGTTGCTATGCCTCTTGCGAAGAAGTGTTCGTTTAACCCTGATTGGGTGAACGCGGAAATATCCGAGCACGCCTCATGGATTAGAGCAGTGCCGAACGATACAAGTAAGGCTCACTGTGCAGCATGCCAGAAGACTTTCTCGCTTAGCAATATGGGCATCGCTGCTGTCTCCAGTCACGCTGTGAGCAAGAAACACCTAACTGCTGTGAGCATTGTGCAAAGTGCTTCCCAGACAAACATTCGCGCGTTTTTTCGGTGCTGGACCCAACTTGCCGTGTTCCATGACTGCTACGACTACGAGTGAATGTGTATCGACTGTGCCAAGCACGAGTGCTGAAAGCGTGCCTGCTAAACCGGTGGCCGTCGCGCCTGACGGGAAGGCATCCTTAAATGGGTTTCTGGTCAAAAAATGTGTCACGAAAGCAGAAGTTGTTTGGTGTCTGAACACTATAGCGACCCATGGATCGTTTCGTTCAGCAGCAGCGTCAGTGGCGCTTTTTCCCATCATGTTCCCCACGTGCGACGTCGCGAAGAAGTTGCAACTTGGTAAGGACAAAGTTGGCTATACAATTTGTTACGGTATAGCCCCGCACTTCCGAAACAGGCTGCTATCAAAGCTGCATAGTGTCCCACACGTGGTCGTGGCTTTTGACGAGTCCCTGAACAAAATTGCTCAGAAAGAGCAAATGGACGTTTTGATCAGGTTTTGGGACCCAGCTGACGACGTTGTCAAAACCAGCTACCTGACGTCCTGTTTTTTAGGACACACTCGCGCAGAAGATTTAGCTGCCGCTTTCAAAAAGGCCACTGAGAACATTGAGCCGGCAAAAATACTTCAACTTTCGATGGATGGTCCAAACGTCAATTTGAAGTTGTTGAAGTCGTTGAAGCAAGAGTTTTCTGCGTCTGATGGAAATCAGAATATTGTGGGCATTGGAAGCTGCGGACTGCACGTTGTGAGTGGTGCATTTAAAACAGGCCACAATGTGACAAAGTGGAACACAGTAGTGTTTCTTAGAAGCTTGTACAATTTGTTCAAAAACATCCCGATGCTACCTTTTCTCGCAACAGCACTGGACGGCCTGTTGTGGTCACTGCTGGGACGAATCGTGCTAAAGGAAAAGCTGGATGCTGTAAGCACATTTTCAAAACTGATAAAAATTGATCTGGAGAACCCAAACAACATCATTGGTATAGCTGCCTTTGACATAGGCCTTGCCGCCAAAAGTGAGTTGCGAAAGATCACTAAACCATCTCACACTGCGGTGGTAAGTGTCAAAAAAGAATGCATCTTATTTATTAAGGCCTGTTCAGCAAAGATAATCGAAAGATCACCTCTGAAATACAAGCTGACAAGGGGGGCCAGTTGCTTAAACCCAGCAGTTTGTGCCGCTTCTGTGGAAGCTGGCCAGAAGCTGCTAAACATTGCACTTGAAGTACTTATAGAGCATGGGCGCCTTACAGGCCTACAAGGAGAGAGAGCAAGTAGATCATATGTACAAGTGTGCTCGAACAGCACTGCACAAGTGCGTTTGCGAAAATTTGATTGTGCAAGAGAGCGCTTGGAGAAGCGGTGGGTGGAACTCTGTGCAAGTTCTCATGAAGAGCTACTGCTGTTTGTGAAGATTGTGCTGTGCCTTTCACATGGAAATTCTTCCGTGGAGCGGGGATTTTCAGTGAACAAGGAATGTCTTGTGGAAAATATGAAGGAGGAGTCACTTGTAGCACAAAGGTTAGTGTACGATGAGGTGTCTGCAGCAGGTGGTGTTGCAGAAGTTGACGTAACAGACAAGATGATAGACATGGTTCGAAGTTCCAACATCAAATGGAAGGAAGACCTGGAGAGGAAAAAGAAGGAACGGTTGGACGTATTGGATGCTGAAAGGAAAAAGAAGAGGACTGCGGCTCTTGTGAAAGAGCTTGAATCAAAGAAGCAAAAACTGATGGAAGACGCACATCTTCAGGTCTCCATGCTGCAGCAAGAGATTGAATCCTTGAACAGTGAAGGCATTGCCGATGCAAGTAAACAAGCTTTTCTGTTTGTCGAGGGACAATTATTGTGTCTTTGAATATTTTATTTATTGTAAAAAATGCTTTCAGACAAGGGAATGCAATAAAGCAGCATGGTTTCCATTTTATATGAGCGCCTCATAATTTCTTTTTACTGCTCAGGAGTTTGTTTTCCAGTGCGCAGTTTCTTCCAAGCAGACATACCGGTCATGGAATTTGCTTGAAATGGTCATGGAAAACCTGGAAAAGTCAGGGAATTTGGAAAAATGTAATTGGTAGACACCCTGTTAATGTAATGATGGCAACTTTCCCCTCATGTACGTATGTACATCTTATTTTAAAATACAGTCGAACATGGATATATCAAAGTCGAAGGGGATCGCGAATTAGTTTTATATATGAAAAATTAGATATAAAAAAATGGAGGCCCCGAGAGCTTACCTGCAGTGGATCATTACCCACAATAGGAGCATCCATAAATGAAAACTAATTTCGCCTTCACGCCACAACAAAATGATTTATTTGCGTTAGAAAAATAAAAATTTCTTGGCCAGTTTCTTCGTTTTCGAAATGAAGTTGAAGATGCTAGTCTCGATCTTATCAAGGCTGTCCAGGTGCGACAGTCCAGTTCCCTCCATGTCGTTGATACAATGGCAAAGGACGCTGCCGCTACTTCAGTGGCAGAGTACGCGTATGTAGCCAGTGCCTCGTCTGGACGATCCTCATCACTTGAGCTGTAGGCCTGGACATTGCGTTCCACGAAGTCGTCCGCAGATACTTCGTGGACGGCTTCGTGTGGAACTGCTGCCAGGAAGCGTGACTACAACTCGCGAAACGAGTCTTCTCGTTTGTGAAAGTGCTTGTTGTCTTTTCACCGGTTTCCGCAAGTTCCCAAATCCGCATTTTTCAAGGGGTGTGCGGCTTTCATGTAACAAAAAGATGGCAAAAAAATTTTTGGTAACGTTTTTATTTCTGGATTTCTTTTTCTACCCTTTTCCAGAATATCTACACTGAAAACTGCACAGAAGTGCTCTGAAAAATTCGTTTCACCGTGCTAGGTAGTGAGAAATAGTCTGGAAATCGCGAGAAAACAGCGCAGCGATTAAAAAAAAATTATAGCTTCACGACTGTGTGGCCGGGAACTAGCTTCTTGGGTAAAGAAAAGTGTGGCCATCGTTGTGTTCACTGATAAAGAAAAAGTTGTTCCCCACATGATGAATTCTTGTGACATCGTTTGTTGCAACAGTGTTTAACTGCATAAAAAGCAACGTCTTTCCAAAAAATAAAAAAGTTCAGCGATCTGTGTCCTTTTTTCAGTCCCCTCCTGCCAGCTGCGCTGATTTGTCGTCGTAATCTTTGGTAATAGTTTTCTATGCTGTGAAGTTGTAGACACCCTAAGCCAAGCATGATAATTTTGTAGAAAAAAAAAAACAAAACAAAAAGTGGCTTGTTCTAGTGTTTTCACCTCTTTTAAATACAGCATTAGAAGTTTGTCCCTGCAGATATTGTAACGATTGTAGGTTGACGAGTGTCAAAAAGTTGGCTTCTTTGTTTGCTGTCAATAGCCATTGTAGCTGGTGCGTTAAAATGTGGTTTTTCTTCAAAGTGTTCTTTTTTTGTTTCAGCCAATGCCTCGCCGCCCAGAGTGTTCTTTTTTTGTTTCAGCCAATGCCTCGCCGCCCAGACTCAGTGGATGATCGCCATGTGACAGCTAAACACTCCATGATCTACCCAAAAGATGAGGACCTTGGACAGGTTCAACGCATGGTCACAAACACAGAGAAGGCCCTGAAGTTGGTTTCGGACTCCCTAGCCGAGGTGTAAGCAGTGCTTCTATGCCTTCCCAGAAGCTCTCCTATTTCTTCAGCAGTTCAATAATTGATTTTAATAATTGTAGAACTGAGCCGAAGCCTGAGGCCGAAAAGCCAGATGATGATGACGCCAAGAAGACCGAAGAAGGGTGAGTAACCTGAGGCCACAACCGGGCAACCTCCTACACTGTTTTATTGCTTTGAATGCATTTATTCATTGATTGGTTATTATCATCCTTATGTAGGAAACATGACACTGCTGCACGTAGATTCATATGAGTACTTTTGGGCTCGCACTATAAACAAAACATCACCTTGACAGATTTCAAGTTTGCAGCGCTTGTAGTGTGCAAGTGTTGGGTGAAAATTGCAACCAAGCTGCAGGAACAAGTGACCGTTTTTCTAATAGCGCAGTCTGTGAAGAATTGTGTAATTGCCCTTCAGCCCCAAGGCCCAGATTCAGTGCAGTAACAACATGCGTAGTGTGCAGTGTAGCATGTGTGCCTTGCAGGAAGAAGGAAGAGCAACCGCAGCGCCTGCTCAAGGGTGTCATGCGTGTTGGCGTGTTGGCCAAGGGCCTTTTGCTGGCGGGTGACCTGACGGTGGGCCTGGTGGTTATGTGCTCCGAGAAGCCCGGCCGGACTCTGCTCGCACGAGTAGCTGCTTTGCTGCCAAAGCATCTTGCAGTGAGTAGCCTTCTCTTTTAGCATTTCTGTTCAAATGGACATGGTGAAAAATATAGGCCAGACTTGAGTGATCAAGCATTTTCCTTGCTGCGAGTGGTCATCTGTTTTGTTGGCTGCAGACTGTTTCCCCCGATGACAAGTATGAGGTTCGTGCCAGCCCACAGGATGCAGCTGTGTCGGTGACAAACAATTCTGATCCCAAGGTTACTGTGTGGGTCACCCTCACATCACCTGTTGTGCGAGACGGAGAAGCCAGTAACGGTAGGGTTTGCCTCTTTCTTCCAATGCTTGGATAGTTTTTCCAGAAGGTCTCTAGAAGTGTGCCAAGCAAAGATGCATTTTCTGGTCACCACCAAAAGTAGATAGGAATGCATGCACATACCATATTTGATTATAAGCACCCCTTCTTTTTCACGACCTCGATCTTGAAAGTGAGGGGGGGAGGGGGAGTGCTTGGCTTCAAAATATCGAAAAATGACTGCACAGCCCCACTGCCTTTTGCGATAACATATCGACGATGTTGACGCGAGAAATCGCATTTTAATTCTACAAAAGAAAATGAAAAGAAAAAGTAGGTTCACACAGTGAACCGACCACTTGTGCATCAGGTCAGTTACTATCACTGCCGCTCGAGTCCGTTACACCGCTCAAGTCCGTCACTCTCTCTGTCCCACAGTAGTCTTCGGTGCTGTCCAAGTTGTTGGGGCTGCAACATTTCTTGAATGACTTCGCGACGTCGACTTAGATTTGTTTCCGCTCGTCCGAAATCCATGTTGCCACGGTGGACGGGGAGGCTTTCTGCAATTTTCCACTCTGCGTCTTTTTTTTTTTCCCCTGGTCAGGGTTTTGGATTCGCTCTTCGTACTCCTGTTGAAGGAGGGCCTTAAACTGCTCGTTTACTGAGACGTCCAGGGGTTGCAGCACTGGTGTCATGCCTCCTGGAATCATGACCAAGTTGCAGTTGCTGCATAGCAGCTTGGCCTTCACACTTGGGGTGAGGGGGCCGCAAAAATCATCTACCGTATTTACTCTATTCTACCGCTCCCTCGATTGTAACGCGCACCCGGTTTCCACGACGAAAAAAAAAAAAAAAGACATTGATTGCAACACGCACCCATTTTTCTTGTTGGCCTGCACGATCACGCCACTTGAAAAAACGATTCCTTTCGGGAGTGTCTTCCATTTAAATATGAGGTACGGGGGGAGCTTGTGCCCATCTGACGTTTAACACAGCATTGCCGTCACTGTAGTTTTACCGTGGACCAATGTCAGCACGCGAACTTGCTTCGCCCTCTTCTTCTCGACGGTTGTGGTGCCAGGCATGTCGAAGTTAAGAGGCGTCTGATCGGCATTCCCGATTTGCCCAAGCAGGTAGCCGTTGGTGTGCCGCAAGTTTAGAACGAACCTCTGAAAACTGTGAAGCTTTTCATCGTACTCCTCCGGAAACTTTTCGCATATGCCTGTTCGCCTTCGGAGGGAAGAGCCTTTCCTCTTCATAAAGTTCGTTAGCCAGCACCTGCTCACTTTAAACTGGCTCCGCATTAGACCTTTGCCTGAAGCTAATTGCATAGCCCACACTTGAGCAGTTCTGTCGTCACGGGTCTCTGTGCTGCTCGCTGCTCAAGCACATACTCGCCGAGCAGCTCTTCAATTTGCAGAAACCGACCCTGCTGTGGTCCACTGAAGCCTTTGCGTGAAGCTTTGCTGTCGACAATCTTCTGCTTTTGTTTCCGCCAGTCCCGCAGACACGTTTCGGGAACTCCGAACAACCGCAATGCGGCCCAATTTCCGTCCTTTTCTGCACACGCGATGACTTTCCTTTTAAAAGCGGCATTGTGGTGCACTCGAGTTTTTGGAGTCGGCCCTTCCACGCCGTCGATGCTAATGCACTACAAGATGACGAACACGTACGAAGTGCACTACTAGATGATCACACGTACGAAGTGCCGCACATAGGGAACACATAGGCAGAAATGGCCGACGCGCCATGCCTACGCACGTAGGGGGTGGCCATTTTGGAAATGCCGATGAAAATAGAATCACCGCATTGATTTTTTTTTTCCGTATTCGATTCTGACGCACATGCGATTTATAAACTTGCTTAACGAGAAAAAAGGTGCGCGTTAGATTCGAGTAATTGCGGTAGTACCGGTGTCACACGGGCGCTTTTAATCGCGATCAATGTCGATCCGGATTAACCTTAATCCAGATTGAGTGCTGCTACACGATCACTTTTAATCACAATCAGGCGTGATTGGGATCAAAACTATCGTGATATGCGCATTGCGATCTGCCTGAAAGATCGCGATTTTGCTGCCGTCTGCACCCCCTAGTTGAGCTTGTTCAAAGCACAATAAGAAAATCGAGCAAAGTTCGATGAAAATGCTTTAAAACAACTAGATGTTTATAAAAAAACAATTTCTAAACTGTTTAAATTGAAACAATATTTAAAGTATTGCATATTTTAGGATTCGCATCGACCACATGTAGTTACGGGAGAAGCAGACGGCAAGCTGACGACAAGCAGTCGACCGTTGCCTTCAGCGCTTATTTCAACTCTCGCTCCGACGGAGCTGTTAGAGCACCAAAAAGCAAACTGATTTTGAGTCTCGCAAGTCTTTCCACTATACGTTGCAACATACGTGCACTTCGTGGTCGAATGAAGAGATCTTTACAATAATTGACCGCTAACAGATGAGACTGGAACAGACTTGAGGCGCCAGAAGTGAAACACTGGGGCGTGCAACAAGATTGGCGCTTTGCTGCGGCTACACTGCTGCGAGCGGGGGCCATCAGAAAAAAAGCGAAGGTTAAGAATCTCACACAGCAATACAGGTAAATGCTAGGAAAATTTTATCGTGTGGTAGATTTATGAAAGTACTAGTGCAGTGGCCTGCAAAGTTTTTGACGTTTGAGTGGTTCTTGCACATATAACATTGCTGATAAAGGGTACTATAGGTATATCGTACGTCAAGTTTTGTCAGTGCCCCGCAGGGGCGCCTGCGCAAGTAGGCGTTTAGTGTGTAGCGACGCCACGGACCCGAGCTAATGTGGGAGTTTAGACTCCCTCTCACACCTAGCCGTGCGTGGCTTTGCTGTGTCCGGAGAAAAGGGGATCTTGGTGGTTGAGCCGTTGTCGGGTGATTGGACCTTTAAGGCCCCTTGGCCGAGGCAACACACCCCTTTGGCCCCGGCTTCAAGTAGACTGCACCTCTGGGCTGACCCACCCAGGGGAAATAGGCAGTCGCCTTTTCCTATCTTTCCCTCCCTACATCTTTGTCTTTTCTCCTCTTTAAATTTATCCTGTCCTCTTCTCTTTTTCGTTTACTTCATTGTTTCCAGGTGGCAAGGGTTAACCTCATGTAGGTATCCAACCTTGGGTATGCTATATCCGGTTATAGTGACAGCGCACAGCTGGCGTTGTGCAGACTTAGTTCAAGTCTTGCCGCGTCTCCTTGTTGGGCTCTGTGGTGGATGGTTGGCGCTGTCTCCGAACACACGCACTACTCCCATGGCTAAACAAGCTACTTTACTCCTCGATTGCCCTCAAAAAAGAGGGCGCACCGAAGCGCTCTTCCACTTTTTTCTGAAAAGCAATGACATACTTCCAAAATATCATGTGATCCATAGTGAGGGCAACCTAACTGCTCGCAAATTGTCACCTTTCCTGGTGACGAAATGCCTTGGAAACACCATTGGACCAGGCTACAAGGCCACGAAAATGACTAGCGGTGATTTAGAACAAAGATCAATTTGAGAAAATGAATGAGTTGAAATGCATTGGTGACATACCAGTCACAGTTTCTGCACATAGGACAATGAACATGAGCCGTGGTGTAATATCGGAAGATAACTTCTTGCACCTTAGTGATGAAGAACTTCTTGATGGGTTCCAGAACCAAATGCCACAAATACTGAAAGAATATTGATTCGCCGGAAAGATGAGCAGATCTGTACTAAGCACATAATACTAACCTTTGACGGCTGTGTGCTTCCTACCACACTAGATGCAGGCTACATCAAACTTCGCGTGAGGCCGTACATCCCTAACTCTCGGCGGCGCTATAAGTGCCAGTGGTATGGGCATGGATCGCAGACATATCGGGGAAAGCAGACATGTGCCAAATGCAGCTTGTGGTGTGCACATATCCCGAAGGAGTACGGCCACCAGCGTGGGTCCGGTCTTAGCGAGCCGCAGGGCACGCGTTAACCGTCGCCGTGGCGAGAACACGATACTGCTCAAAGTCGCAACACTTTATTGTGGCAACACCAAACGCAGTACAGCCCGTTGCAAAGGCGCGGTGGGAAAGCATATAGGCTTATCCACGCCACGGGCACATAAGTACTACACAGGGTGCCACAAGCACGTCTCCGCGGTAAAGGTGATCCACGGAGACACCGGGACCAAGGCCCGGTTGCTCGAGCGAGGGCAAAGGCGCTCGCGTTGGCTTCGAAGGGAGACGGGTCGGCGTAGCTAGGCCACGCACTAGGACACCGTACCACCCCTCGGCCGTGCGTACGCAGCGGGGCAACAAAAGGTGAGCGTTCGCCTCGGGCTCGAGGCGCCGTCAGCGAAGTCCGACGAGCCCCGAGTGACGGGAGTCGACGGACGGAAGAGATTGCGTGGCTCACCGTTCCTGTCCCGGAGAGTATCTGACCGCTCCCGACGCAGCGCGCGAAAACCTCTCGGGAGGCTCCACGCGCGGCGCCACAGTCAACATCCGCTACCGGGTGAGGGAGTTAAACGTCACTCCGTCCTTCCCAGCGCGGCAGACAGCAAAGGAGGGCAGACATGTCTGGACATGAGAACGGCAGAAAAGGCGGCAAAGCCCGCGCAAAGGCAGCGGGCTAGCCTCAATTCCCACTAGCTCTAATGAACCCAAGTCGGACGATTGCGGATCATCTCCTTATTGTGTGAACTGTGATGGAAGTCATCCAGCCTACTCTAGAACATGTCCTAAATGGAAGATCGCAAAAGAGATCATCTCACTGAAAGCAAAAGAAAACTTAACATTTCGTGAAGCAATGAACCGTCTGTCATGCCTTGATCAAACCAGTTTTGCCGAGGGGTGCAACGGGGGGTAGTGCCACAAGTGCCTCGGCAGTCTACTGCGGTCGCCAACAGTGGCCCAGTAGTTGCTTCGTCCACCCCCCAGGTGGCTGCTGCTATTGCCGCGCCACCAACATCTAAGGTGGGTCTGCAAGCCTCTGTTCAACAGGCCCCGAAGCTGAATCGAATTCCAAGGCCGGATACACAAGTC